CATTAGGTTGCAAAGGCTCTGTGTTGCAGTTTATTTGAGTGGTTGGCAGAACTGAAACATATTACAGTAGATATCTTTTAAAATATTAATACTGGGGAAGATTGTGTGCTTTGCTCTACAGATACACAAGAGAGAGAGGAGGAATGCTTCTCTGCTCTACAGTCTTTCTGGCCAGTCAGTAGCCAGCAAAGAGTACAGAGCACTCATTTCTAGAGCATTTAAGAGTTTATACTCTCTCAGTGGCTTGTAATGGGTCAGTATAATTAGATATGTCAATGTGCAATAAAGGACATTAAAACCCACAGCACTTGCCACCCCAGCCCACAGGGTCCTCTGGGTAATTTAATTCCTGGGATTCTTCCAGATCAAAAGGTAGAGAATTCACTCTCTAAAAGAGGATGTTAACAGGGCAGCTTTCTTGTTAGCTCTCCCTTTTAATAAATCCATACTTGTGACACAAGAATGTTTTTAAAATGAATTACCAGGGGACCTAAAAGTGATCCACTCGGGTGATATCGTTTTGAAGGGCATATGAAAATCTCTGGTGGGTCAAAGGAAAGCTCAGCCTGTAAAATATTCAAGAGGGTTAAATATTTGGACTGTCTCTGGATGTCTCTCTCCACACAAAGGGAGCAGTTTTCTGTTTGGACCCATCAATACTAAAACTTTACCCGTTTCTTCAGCAACTTTTGACCCTGGTCCCAGTGGGCAGCTGAAGGGCAAGACTGTGGAAAACTTTGTCTGATGCAGCTTTAGAAAAGCCATTTTTAAAAAGTGTTTCATATTCAAGATTTCCTTCATGGGGAACGGACCAAAACCACACCTGCACTGATCTCTGCTCACACAAAGGAAACCAGGAGAACTCTCCCAATGTCAGCTCACAGTCTACTTCTTTCCAAGAAAACTTAGGGGTCTTCCTCGCCACCAGGAGCTGTCTAATTATGTAAAGGAAAAGTGATTAACTGATTCTGATGAATAAATTAATCTCTGAGGACTTGTATGTATTCAGACATTTCTAATTAGTATGGTTTTCATGGAGAAATTCAAGTCAGTCCTCTGTTCCTATTAGTAATGATTAACAGAACAATAAGTAATTTTTGGCAGCTCCTCACAAAATTATTAGAATTAACACGGGATTAAGGATTTGTGAAAAATTTGTCACTGATTAATGATGTGAGACTGACAAGTACCACAGACCACCCTGGAAAAACACCCATATCTGATGATTTCAGCAAGCAACAGTGGAGCAGGTAAAATACTGGGAGTTCCTATCACCTGTGCCAGAAATGTTGATTCCCCTTTCAAGTTCCCTACTCCTCACTTTTTCCTGATGAGGATCACCAGTTATTGCACGCAAGGACAGTATGATCCTGTTCCTGTATCTCAGGATATTTCACAATGGTATTTTTCAACTTAATTTTATAAACACAATACTTACCAAATAATTCTGGCGGTTCATTGTTTGTTTTTTCTTTGAAATGCCCTTTATTGCCAGAATTGTGCCTTCATTGGTTGCTGATCTTTGCATGCAGCCTTTTAAAATAAAAGTCAGTGTTTATCAACAGTTATTTGAATTTTGATTACTTGGTCCTGGAGCAGATTAGTTAAAGCAGCTGCGAGATGGTTGTGAAAAAAAAACCCAGCTATAATTCCAGGATGCATCAAGGCAGCAATTTCTACCAAACAAGTACATCCCTCTGCACAAAGCACTCATTCATGGTGTTCTGAAAGTATTCATAATATCAGTAAAGAAACATGAATTTAAACTAAAACAGGCATAAAGAAGAACTAATAGCTGCCTGGGGAAAAAGAGAACCCATGAGAGGAGATTGATGGCACGTCTCTCCAGGAAAATGAAGTACAATGGAGACAGTCTCTGCCTACCTCTATCCAGGCTGACACTTTTACGCATCGTGATGCAGTTCCATCTAGGGGTAATAACTTGGCCCTTAAAAAGAATTTTATCTGAACTAGGCAGCCTGAGAAGGCTTCATTAACCCGCACAGAGCACTGTGTGGCTACAGTGGTCCCAGGTCAGGGGCTGGATGGACTTATGTGTTTCCTGACACGAAAAAATGTTGGTTTATAAGGAAGGATTTTCGCTTTTTGTCACCCATTGTCACGACATTAGGTGGACAAGTCACAACAAGCACGTGTTTACAAAATACTGCAACCATTCTAAAAAAATTTGTAAGCGTCCAAAAGTTTAAATTAAGAAGAGAGTTAAAAGCAAAACCCCTGACAGGTAGCTTGATGGCCATAAAATGTTGGTTAACTTTAGTTTAGAGAATCCCTCATCAATACCTGGGTGACATTGAGAATTACAGCAAAATTCATCACTATGCTCAATATCTGAGCTGAGTTCTCATTGTCTGTCTCTTTCTGCCTCATTTTGCCTGGATGAAAAACGAGCAAATTGTGTCCATACATTTATTTATTGTAATAAACAACTGGGAGACAGTTATGAACACCTGGTTTTCTTTATACACGACTTTCTGCTCGCTTCCCACCTACACATAAAAAAGCTTTTGCAGGAGGTTGAATGTAATGTGTTGGAAGACATCGTTGTCAAAGCAAAAAAGCCATGCAGAAATGTTAGCAAGTGAAAAAGCATCCCTACTCGAAGTTATATCTTCTTTCCCCCCGTTCCTAGAGTCAGCAGGACTGCAGCTAATCCCTCTGTTTCCTCAAGAATAGGAATTTTCCCTCTAATCAATGATGATGTCACAAAGCAGGAATTATGACTTCAAGCAGGGAATAAACTGGGGAGCTGGATCCTTTTAAAACAAAGACCTGGTTCTCATGCAAATGCCTTTAGTTATGAAGAAGAAAAAAAAAGCATCCAGTGCAAACGGGTTTGTTTCTGAAAAGATTATTTTTCAAAGTTTTCTGTGAGGAAAGAGCTTCTTTAGGAAGTCCACTGGAATATTCCAGCTCTGTGGTAGTGGGTGGCATTGTTTCAATATCTGTTGCTGGAAACCCACAGTCCAGTCAGAAATTTGACTTGCACAAATGATTGGTACTGAATAAGCAGCCACCACAGAGGGCCTTTCTCTCTCGCTCGCTTTGGACGTGAAATGTTTTTTGTTCAGAGCCTTTCCTTTCAAGAATTTCTTATTTTCCAGAAGAAACCATTCTTCCCATAGAAATTGCTCATGCATATTCCTGCACTGCAGGTGACTGTGTGTGCTTGCGTGGGCATGTGGATGCAGATGGGGGCAAAATGTGGATTCGCTCATTTATAAATTTATTGAAGCAGGATGAAGCAGTGCTCTCATTTGCTGTCATTTTGCAGGCACTTAATTTGCACTCAAATGCCTCAAAAAACGTCTTCACTCGAAATCTGCGAGGCTGGAATGAATTCAGCTTGAAAACATTGTACTAAAAGCAAAATAAAGATCTGAGCTTTTAAGCACACAATGACAAAGCATCATTAGTGAGGAAATTGTAGTATTTCCCCAAATTAGGTTTGCTGTAAGCACCTATTTATAAATAGCCTGCTTTTAAATTTTGCTATGCAAGGGTGTCCTGCCTATTTAATTAAGAAGCCCAGAAATGTATTTACTGCAAACTACACAGCCCATTTTCACGGAGCAGATTCCTTCACCTTGCTCTGACCTCGCTGCAGACATTGCAAAGCACTTTTATTTAAGCAGGGCATGGGGGTCCTGAGCAGGATGTATCCTATCAGCCACTCAAGCTAAAGCACCGGGCTGATCTCTCTTCTTCCTCCCAGATTATTTTAACAAACCGAAAACAAAAGCCCATCAAACAAACAACTTTCACTCCTTCCCGGCCTCAAGGCTGCGTTTTGACAAGCTCTGGGGCTCGCAGAATGACATCCCCTTTAAGCCATTGACTCCATTGAGTTCAAAAAACCTTGGATAAGACATTAGGAGCGAAGAAAGACGCAACTAAACCCTGAGGTGATGTCTATAGTGGCACTGACAGTGCAGAACAAGAGACAGCTCCCTTGTGATGGCTGCAGAAAGCTCACTGGGTGTGGGAAATGGTGAAGTCCTTGAGGATTCTGCTGTTGGTTTAATATTAATATTAGTATATAATAATATTATATATATACTAATATTAATATTATTTAATATTAGTATATATTAGTATAATTAATATTTAATATTAGACAAAAAAACCTAGTGATGCCTCAAGGTCCTTTTAGTTTTTTGATTTTTCTCATTTTTCTAAGTTTTATAAGTAGTTATATAGCAGAAGTAGATTTAGAAGCAGCAGCATTTATTCCCTTACAGAAACTACATACACATTCCCCACCCCCTATTACCCCATTCCATGCTCCCCATATCAATTCCACCCCTGGATTCCATTGGAATATGTTTAGTCTCACTCTTGGATAGGCCTGTTCTCTTTGGAGAATTCTCGTATCTTGACCCAAACCGCAGAACATGGGCAGGAACTGGGTCACCCTGTACCCTTTGTACTCTGAAGAAGATGATGGTTGACGAAGAGAGAGCCCTGAAAACTCCCTCAGCCCCAATTCCCAGGGGGTGGGATGGGGGTGAATCAGGGCAAAAGCCACAGGGTGGGAAAACTTGGGCTTGGACAGGCAGTGTTGTAAATTGTAACATCTGAGGCACGGGGGGTATGTGTGTCTTGTAATCTTATGCCTAGGTACAAATTAAAGATCCTTTCCTTCTCTCACCTCCTAAACTAAATTATCTTGGAGGTTTTTTTTCTCTCTGCATTTTCTTTAGGCAACACTGGGCATCCCTTTTCTGACAAATGGTGAGCTTAAAACCTGTCCTTTCTGTCGTACCATGCCTTTTGTTCCTGGCTTCAGCCTTTCATAAATTAGATAAACTGGAGATTAATTCATATTTGAGTTTTTTTCAAACTGAGAATTTAACTGAAATCTGATGCCCTTAGACAAAAAAGGTTCATATTTTGACTCTGACTAAATAGTATGCAGACTGCATAGATAAATGTATCTGAGTGGGAAATGCTAAACTGGATCACCAGAGGATCGACTTCATGTCATTAATTCAGGATGCATTACTATTTCCTTTTACAATAAGAGAAAACTGATTTTAATCATTATAATTAAATTACGTTTTCTTTCATTTGGAGAAAACAGCTGCATTATTTAGAATTATTAATAAGTGTTGTTAGGAATAAAATGTTTATTGATGAAAAAAAAAATGGGGACTTGTTCATGTGATGCTGAAACCTGTAATGTCTTGTTCTTTCCCAGGAAACTGCCATTCCCAGTATATAAAGTAGCCTGCAAAAATAATATTCTGCATTCAATACCAGCAAGGTGTATGTTTGTCAGCATCACTGAGGACAAGAGAGAGCAGAGTGCCAACATTCCACTTCTTATCAGTTATTGAAAACAGACATTTTAATGGGTATGGCACTCAGCAGACCTCAAGACTTTCTTTTCATAGCTTTGAATTGCCACCCTATAATTCAGCACTATTAGCCTCCACCTCTTTCATTTTATCATCCACAGGTGAATACATTTGTTGAAAACATGATTTCTAGATGCTTTGTGCAAGTTAAAACTGTCAAAAATACAAAGGAGGAGAGAAATATATGACAGTCATGCAAGTGAAAGGACATTTGTAAAAGTGATTTATACTTCCACTAAATAACAAAGAAGTCCTATCTAAAGGGCAAATCCTGCAGTCCTTAGGAAAAGAAAAGCATTAAAATTTTTGTCTAACTCCTGAAGCCCTGATTCAGCAAGGTGATTAGGTGTCTGCCTAAATTTAAGCAAAATAATAGTCTCTATCTCCCTTGGGAGAACTCGAGATTAGGTGGCACATATCTTTAAATGCTGTGTTAAATGAAAGTATATTTTTTATTATTATTATTGGTGGGGCTTTGATGCATGTTTATTTTTAGGAAAGATTAGGTGACGAGTTCACTGTTACCAGAATTAAACAGCAGGTAACCAACAGAAGGATGAGAGCAACAGAGTCAGACCTACTAAAAGCTGTAGTCTGCTCATGGGTTATTATGGGATGGCTCCTACCAAAGATATGGTTTGCTGCTTATTGAAATAATATGAGAAGGTGTAAGCCAGGAGTTTACAGAGCAGCCACCCTCAAGCCTGGGATTTGGCTCAGGCAATCAGGCAGAACTGGGATGCACTGGAGGGACTTAAACAAACATTGATGTCGTGTCAAACATCACGTGAAATTTAAACAAATGTTGTTGTCACATTGGACCTCTCAACATTAGTATTGATATTTATGAGTTATCTGTTCACAGACCCAACAAAATGTCCCTCCTGCCTTGACTTCAGTCAAAATATCAGAGAAAAGCATCAAATGGGGAGGAGAAATATGGCAGGGAATGCATGAACAAGATGAAAGATGAAAGGCCTAAACACTGGTCTGCTTAGTTGAACTTCTGGTTTTTAAGTTTATGGGCCTATTTTATCCACAGAAGTACTCACATATATTTAAGAACACGTTCTCCTTTTGTTTAATGAAATACTTAAGTTATATTTGCACCTTGATCAAAGTGCTGGAAATGGTTTCTATAGCTCTGTTTTGCTAATGGTTAGAAAATAACTGTAAAAAAAGGCATAATAAATGCTCACAACAGGCAGCACATTATTGAAGTGTTTGTGACTCGATGCTCAACCAGGGAAGGTGCAGTACAATGGGTTATTGATGGACACACATGTGGGAACCACAGGAGTGCCAGGAGAACTCATTGTTATCAGCACTGTATAATATAATGCTGAATGAATTAACTGTGGTGATTGCTTAAAATGTACCTTTTTGTGTAATAGCCCTAATTATCAGCAACCCTTTACAATGAGTGGATAATCGTTTTTAATTCCTTCAGTATCCATTGTAGTCACATTAATCATGATGAGCTCATTTGGCTTTAATGCGAATATAATATGTGATACTGCAGGAATTCAGCTGGAATTCAGCAGTATGTAAAGCCTGCTTGCCATGCAGGGTTATGACAAACCCATGCACAGATACCCAGCACTCATAATTTTCTAAGCCAGCATATCCACAAAGCAATTGGAACTTCCTAACTAGAATTCTTTACTTATAGTTGGCTTGATACACTTATTAAAAAATTCTTTAGTTCTCTGGATTGATGGAAACTGGTGATGACTGATTAATTACTTTACTTGTTGTCCCTTGGAAGGGCTGACTGGATTGGCAAATATCTTTAAAATATTAACTATATACTTCTACTTAGAATTAAAAAAATAAAAAAGGAAAAATTAAAAAATGGTACCAAATATTCCCATACTTGCTTTCCCCACTGGAGATATTTATCTGGGGCACAACTGACTTCTGATTTTTTATTATCTGGGACTGGGGAAGAAATAGTCATTTGTTGTTGACCTGAGCTGGTTGAATTGTACACTGGGGAGGATTCGAATTTCCATCTGTACTCTTCAGGTGTTACATACTCATTTCTCGTGGCTCTTGGAGACACAAAGTTCCCATCACAATTTATCTGTGCATAAGCATGCAAACAGGCACAAATATAGACCTCGTGTGATTATAGAAGGGGTTTGATATGATTATTTCCATGCATGGATTAAAAATAAGCTTGCGTGAGCATTCAGGAAATTCAACTCAATTTTTAGTCCGTCCTAAGAGAACAGAAATTTGAAGCTTCATTTATGAAAGTCATAAGTTAGACTCTGCAAATTTTCCAAAGTCACAGTGCTG